GCTTCCCCCAACTTCCTCTTTGTTCTATCTTTTTTCTTCCTCCCCCCCCTCCTCAGATGTTGATACATTGTGAACAGCTGCTTAGGACTGTGGGATTATCGGAGAACGAGAGCTGTGGGTTAAAGGGTTATGATCGTAATCTTCATTCTGCAGCTGACCTACTGAACCAGCTCAGGCAGGGCATTTCACCCTGTAAGCCACACTACTGTCGTCTGAGAATTAGAGAGAATGATAAATATTCATAGACTACCTAGGATATTTTTAACGCCTGCTTCTCAATTCTTTTAAAAAATAACTCTCATTTCAGTCAATATTTTTGCTTCCCCGATGCAGCAGAAAACTCCCTTGTCAGTGGGCAGCCAGAGATCGGGCAGCTGTCTCCAGTGTCACAGACTTCCACTGTTCTTTCTACAAAGTTGCAAAATAAAGTGTACACATACCTGGAGGTTTTGCCGTCATTCCACAAAACACCAAAATCCTGATTTATAGCAGAAACATTGGAGTTCAGGGAGCAGGATTCTGAGCAGGGAAGAACTCAGGCTTGTTATAGTTAGGTTCCCAGTGAATGTTGGCTAGAAAATACACTCCAGTATTACCACTCCATCAGTAATTTCTTGTCTCTCTCTATAAGAACATGAAAACCACATTTTCTGGAGTTACCTGATGGAATGGTGTTGTGCCTTGTTTAGAGAAGCAGAAGAGTTGTGCGACAACCACACTGAATATGAAATGCTACACGGGATTCCCAGTGTTAAAGAACTCTGCCTCATCCACTGAAGGAAGCCAGCAGTAATAAAATGAACCATTTCATAATCTTAGATGTTCTTTGTAAGTTCAGAAACTTATCATCCTGTAAAATAATGATCTCTGTCAACCTGGGTGATAAATCCAGCCCTTGCTTGATTTATAGGGCAACAGATGCACAAACAATGACTTACTTATTTTCTTGCCACACTGCCTTTTAATTTGGAAACTGATCTGAAATTTATAATTTAATAGTCAGCATAGTATTTCAGATATATGTATTGCTTTTCATCTTGAAAAAGGGTCTTAAAATCCTTTACAAACTAGGTGCATGTAACAAAGCTAGTGCCATTCCAAGAATGCTTTCCCCACTGAAACTTCTCTATTGTCACTGATAAAGGTATCACAGAATCACAGAATGTCAGGGGTTGGAAGGGACCTCGAAAGATTGTTTGGTCTAAGCCCCCTGCCAGAGCAGATCCACCCAGAGTAGATCACACAGGAACACGTCCAGGCGGGTTTTGAAAGTCTCCAGAGAAGGAGACTCCACAACCTCCCTGGGCAGCCTGTGCCAGGGCTCTGTCACCCTCACAGTAAAGAAGTTTCTCCTCGTGTTGAGGTTGAACCTCCTGTTTTCCAGGTTGTGACCGTAATGAGCAAAGCACGTTGTGCATAGTAATCCCTTTGTGCTTCCATAGTCCTATATACCAAGTAGTGGAGAATTCATTAAGTCAACCTGCATTTGGATAAGTATGTTCAATGGTATGTGTAGCCTAATAGAATATATTCATAAACAGGCACAAGAACTGAAGAAAATTCGATTTGGAGTAGAGTATTTTGAAAGGATCAAAACTGATTTTAAGGCAGTCGTACTGGTTGAAGGTGTAACTGTGTCACCAACTCTGGCCTAAATTGCTTGAAAAACAGTAAATCAGCAGATCATAATTTTCTAGTGTCAGCTACTTATTGTTCAGGAGAAAGGAGACTGTCCTGCTGGAGTGGTGAATGCCCTACATGAGGAAACATCTCTTTCCACTCTCACAGCCTCTGCATGTTCCTGCAGCTGAACACGTGAGTGGGTGGAACTATACCTACTTGTCCCTATGGTGATGCATAGAGTTCAATTTAAGTATTTGAAAAATGTATCATTTTTCTCCGATTGTCCCACTTCTAGAGTAGTAAATTGTTTTCTGTAATAGGCACTATAAACATTTCGTGGGTCTTCAAAACGTCAGACAAGAATGAGCTATTTAAATACAAGCTAAGTGTATGCAGGGGGCATTCACTGTGGAGGTCAGGTTGGTCTGTGGTTCAGGATTACAGGAACAGATGAAGATTTATGTTCGCTCTGTCCTGTCCTTTGGTGGAGCTCTGAGGCCTTACCTAAAGTTTGAACCTAGGTCTCTCACACAGAAAACAAGTTAGCTGGGCTGATGGTCACAGAAAGCAACAGAGCGTGCAGATTACCCAGCTGTGTCACTTGTTCCTCCTCTCCCTCCATTCTCAGGAGACTTCAGGGAAACAGTGATGGCACAAGAAATCTGCTGACAAGTTCCTTCACATACAGACACCTGTAGCGTTGCATCAGTGCGTAGAGGAGAATCAGGATGTATGCAACTTTGGTTTTGTGTACAAGTTTAGAAGACTAACTCCTAAGAAAAAGGGAACTCGGCACTCCTAACACACTGCTTCATTCTGCATTCTACGTTTAATTCTCCTTTTCAGAGAACAGGAGAATAATGTTAGTGGTACTAACATTTTTTTGTGTGTGTAAATTTGCACATAGCGATATGCACTGAGCATTTTTTGGTCAAAGGGGATGATAAAAAGGAATCAGAAAGGAAAGCTTAGGCAGGCCATTAGTCTTTGCATCCTGAAACCCCCTTTTTCTTTTCATTTAACACAACAGAATACATGGCATCATGCTTCAATAATGCTGCAGCTGGAAGAAAAGAGGTACTTTTTAGGATATAGAGGACCGTGTCTTTAACTTTTAAGAATTTCCAAAAGTAACAATTAGGAGTTTACAGAAGTCACTGTTTTTGAACAGCCCTGCCTTAATAATCAAACTGATAGGCTTCCAGAGCTAGCAAGGGAAAAGGCAGTGATCGGGACCTCAGTTAAAAGTTTCACTTGCTTCTCCATTAGCAGCTGTAAAGAAAAGCTTTTGGAAGAGATGTAACGTGATCTCTTGCGTAGCAAGTCAGAGGTTGAGGGTCAGGTAGGAGCCAGAGTGGCGTTTTGGGCTTAACATCCACTGAGATATGTCATGCTTACTGAAGAGTAGCCCCAAACTTTCCCTTTGCAGCTTTCAAGAAAATGTGTTCAGCTACCTGCTGTTCAATAATTGAAGAAATGCCGAATATCAAGTTATGGTGACATATAAAAATTCCTCAAAAACTCTGACATCTCCACCAGGTGTCTGAAAAAGACATTTGGGTCAGTGTGGGTTTGTTTCTTTTGTTGGATACCATGTCCTCATTAGCTGTTTAATTTTATTCTTTTCAAGTAGCAAGAGCTTGAGGAAAAAGTCTGAAAAAAAAAAAATTCACAGGCACCTCAGCTGTCTGCTGTAGAAGTTAATATTAACTAAAACAATGAGTGTGCAAGTTCTCTTAAGCCTTCTAACTTTGGACGTTTTATGAGTCATTCTTAATGCATGTATCTAGTTTTGGCTTGTATCAATGATTCTCAGTTACACAGGCTACAACATACACATGACAGTAGCAAAACCAAACAAGTATGTGGAAACACATAGCTGTGCTACACATGGCTTCCTGGTCCAAATTAGTCTTGTAATACCAAAACCTGTATATTTTATTTTAATTAAAGGGTTTGTTATGAGAAACCCAATTGCAAACTTGCAGATTGTATTAAAAGCAAAACCAAAGATAGCCAAACACCTTAGCATTTATTATAAAGATGTGTGAAAAAATCTTGGTAAGTTAGGGTATAGTTACAGGAATGAGTGATTTAAACAAACAAACAAACAAAACACCAACCAAACACACAATCCCCAAAAACCAGCAATCAAAAAAGTGCCTTACAATGTGGAGTTTTTTGACTCGCTTTGATTTTTCTATTATTCAGTATCATTGCAATGTGTACTGAGTTCATTTGTAGTCAGATGGTTTAAAACTGTGAAAAACTGAAAAAAACTTTTAAATACAGGTTCCTCAAAGTCAAGACATAAGTCAGTTTTTCTGAGGAGGGTTATTTTGCACATGCATTTTGAAAAGTTTACAAGCAGTGATCTCCCTGGGTGTGGAGTCTTGCAGTAAACTTCCCTGGCATTGCAACTTTCAGATTAAAGTAGTACAGTGTTTACTTACAAATCTGCTTCTGAAGATTATTGGGAAGCTATTACAGAACGTATTCAGCAGTGTGAGATCATTATGTATTAAAATACCTGTTACAGCAGAAGGACTCAGATCTGGTTTTTAATAGACTTTAAATTTCTGTAGTAGAAAAACAAGCTGATTTTCCAAAACCTGCATTCTTATTAAATTCAATTTGTTGATACCGATACTGTAAAAACCCCACTAGTATTTTTATTGTTTCTCTGTATGTGTGAAGAGGGGGAGACGCATTGCCTATAAAGCCTCCTCTTGATTTGTTGGAAAGCGTGTCTAGATTTTAAACCTCAGTGGGCTTCCGTGAAAAACGCTGGACTTGAGAACTTGTTCGTTCCTGGTCGTCCAGAGGTACCAGAGTCCACTGATGCGCGAACATTGCAAAGTCTGCTGGTGCTCTCATACAGCAGAGGGCTTGTACTGTCACCCTACTCCTTGGAGTAGTTGAGCATCTTGCTCTGAACTTCTGTTGTGTGCATGTGTAGAAAAACAAGTACGGCAAACATTTGTTATGCTAGCAGTGTCTTTGTTAGTGTGGTTTGGGGCACGACACTGTGCTTTTGCTGACAAATTAGTGTCATAACGTACTTCTTAGATCATTCCCCCTATCCCAGCAGAAGTCCCTGTGGGCTCTCCTTTCCACCAGTATTTTCCTTGTATGAGTTAGACTAATGTGCCCATTTGCATTTTTTCAGGACCCAGGCTCCTCTACATTTTGCATTTCCTCCACTAACTCTGCTGTACACCATTTCAAGAAAAAAGCTGGCAAGACCAGTGATGTATGCAAATAAAAGTGTAAAATAACATAAAATAGAAAAAAGCCTTGTGAGAATATAGATAAAAATAAGTAATGTCTTGACTGCAATACATATGATAAACATTTTTTCCTTTACAGGTTTAAAAATGCCTGACCAGAAAGATATTGTACACAGAGCCCACTGTATTGAAAAACTACTCTCTGAGAACAATTTCCAAGATATTGAAGATCATCTTAAAGAACTTGAAGATGTTGATATGACTGTAGAATATCTTCAGGGGACAGAAGTTACCAAGGCTGTATACAGAGTACTCAAGAACTGCCCTTCCCTAGAGTTGAAAAAGAAAGCAAAGCGGTTGTTATCAAGGTGGAAGGCACTTTACAAGAATGACTGTGTTCAGTCAGTGCAAGTTAAAAAGTCAGTTCCTCTGTATGTGAAAGAGGAAACTGAACATCTTGACGTGATTCCTAGAGAGGAGTTGCTGTCCGACAGACCAGGGCAGCAGGATGCATTAGATGCTACTAATTTTAAAATTTTGGTTCCATCGCAACCTGTTAGAAATGTGGTATGTAATGACACAGAAGGCAGCACTAATCTGCTTTCTTCTTTTGAGGAGCAAAACACTGATAATGAAGATTCTAAGCCTCTTGTTAATGAAGCAAGTCTGCAGCAGGATCCGATGAGAGCTCTGAGGCATAAATGCACGGATCTTCTTCATGAAGCTTTGACTGGTTCTGCCAAAGATGAAGAAACGGATAGATGGCTGGAGCTAGCTAAAGAAATCGAAGGGCATGTTTTTGCTCTGCATGCTAAAAGTCACAAAAAGTACAAAAATTGCATCAGAAGCAAAATCTCTAACTTGAAGAACCCTAAAAGTTGCCACTTAAAGCATAACCTTTTTTCAGGGACATTGAGTCCAAAGGCTTTTGCTGAAATGACGGTGATGGAAATGGCCAGCGATGAACTGAAACAGCTCAGGGCTCTGTACACAGAGTCATCTGTGCAGGAACATCAGCTTCCACAAGCTATTAATGGCACGCAGACAAACAAAATAAAATGTAGGCGCTGTGAAGAATTTGATTGCACTGTCACTATGATCGCCAGAGGAACTCTCTTTCTTCCAGGTTGGGTGCGAAACACAAATCCAGACGAACAAATGTTGACTTATGTTATTTGTAATAAATGTGGAGAACAGTGGTATCACAGCAGATGGATTTGTTTGTAACACTTTACTAAGTGGTTACTTAGAAGCTTAAATACAAGAAGGTATCTCTGCTGAAACTATATAATGTAAAATCTTGTGTGAATATTATGTAGACACTGCCACTAAAAAGTGCAAAATTAGTTTTAAAAAATTGCAAAGTTATTTTTGAAGCTTACTGGAATAAATCTATGTGAGTTTTTAAGTCATGTCAATGTCTGTGGTTTTTAAGTCATGTCAATATGTAAAGAAATAGAAGAAAAAAGGGAAAATGTTACAGTTGTGTCTGAGCAAGGAATATTCATGAGTAAATTCATTAAAAATCGTACAAGTGCTGCATTTTTGTTAACCTGAGGTACTGAGGACTTGGAATTAGTATTATCTTTGGCAGGAGTTCTTTCATAGAAACATAGGTTTCATTTACAGTAAATGAACTATTTCCAAAGCTGCAGTTTACATACTTCTGTGCATTGCAGAATGTTCAGCATGGATTCCCTCCTTAATTAAATCACTTTTTGCATGTTAAATGTTAGATTATTGAGTGGCTTTGAGAAGCAATGTCTAACAGGAAGAAAGAAATGAAAAATAGAGTGTAAAGGGGAAGAAGGCATCTAGAAAATTAAAGCAAAAATAAAATTCTGCTTTAGGTTTTTATAGCTGTTGGGAGGAAAATAGGAGTTGTGACAATCTATTAGTTTGCAGTTCAGATTTGCAGTAAGAGGATGTGTCCTGCAACTGTTAGAAATTAATGCAGGATCAGACAATGGTTTATTTCAGAAAATTACATAAATACATGATTAAATTTATCTTTGTTGAATAAATAAAAGCATGAGGTTAGTAGGAGTTAATCACTTTATGGATGGATGTCCTCACTTGCAGTGAGACATCTGTCCTGAACTGAGCAAATGAATGGGGTTTTTTTATATAATGCAGGTTACCCAGGAAAAAAAAATCAATAGAGAAAAATCTAATAACTAAAGTTTTTATGCATGTTGTTGTTCCAGAATCAACAAAATTTCCACTGGCTGTATAGTAGAAGCATTTATTTTTTCAAAAAATACCACCTTAGCATTCTTCTCAGTCAAGTAATAGCCCTGTTGTGTTTTTTTTCTGGAAAACTTCAAGTGAATTCAAAATCAGCTATCATGGAATTGTCAGGGTTGGAAGGCACCTTAAAGATCATCTAGTTCCAACCCCCTGCCACGGGCAGGGACATCCCCCCCTAGATCAGGCTGCTCAGAGCTGCATCCAGCCTGGCCTTAAAAACTTCCAGGGATGGGGCTTCCACCACCTCTCTGGGCAACCTGTGCCAGTGTCTCACCACCCTCATGGGGAAGAACTTCTTCCCAGTGTCCAATCTGAACCGATCCATCTCCGGCTTTAATCCGTTCTGTTTAGTCCTATCACTACCCGACATCCTAAAAAGCCACTCACCAGCTTTCTTGTAGAATACTCTGAATGGAGTCTAATATATCAGAAGTCAAGGAAATGTTTCTTTCCTGAATGGGGAGAACCACCCAAGTCTGTGTATCTTTCACAGCTGTCTGTCGGTCTGTAGAAGACTATGTTCATAGTGTGTGTCTGTATTTTGGTTTCTTGAGTTTGGTTTTTGAGTTACTGTAAATATTTAAGTGAGAGGAAATGGGCCTTGCATTGAGTCCTAATTTTCTGAGCACGTGAACATGTCAGATCGCAGACCCAAGGAAATGCAGTGAAGAATAAGTCCGCCCTGCCCGAGAGGTTAGGTTCTTGCAGCAAAGCACCAGTACTCCTAACGTAATGAGTTTTCTTAGAGCACAGAGGAGCTGGTGAAATGGGTCAATAAATTGTCCACGTCATGCTTCAGGCATAAAGTTTCACCCTGTTGTATAAGCACAGTAAAACTACGTACTTCACATTGCAACAAGGTGTTGGAGGCTGTACTTCATGGTCTGAGCCAAGAGCCCTGCCGAGTGTTTGCTGTAGGAATCAAGGGCAGTTCCTGCGCTCATCGGGCTGTTACGTGGCCGAGGCTGGTCAGCTTCTCTGGGCTAAGGGCCTGGCCCAGAGCTCTTCAGCCACATGGCCTGTCAGAGTTAGGGCCATGTGATGAGAAAATCACTTCTGGTTAACTAAAAGCCAGCCGGGACTAAAATTAAAAAAAAAGGCAAGCCTTTGTGTGCAACCCGATGTTACAAAGAGGCACTTAATATTATTCTGCTGAAAAAACCAAACATCGTTTCAAGTCTGTGAAGTGTTAACTTTAAAGGGGTGTGATTTGCCGTGGCGTTACCTAGATTTTTATCACATGAAAATGTGTGATTTAGTGGAATTGCTCTGATGTAAAACAAATATTAAAGCATTAGGCCAGACCTCCAGCATTCAACTGTGTAACATCCGACCTTCCCTCTCTGCCCTTACGCCTGTGCTGGGATTGGTGCCCACAAGTAGTCCTGCTTGCTTAAAGTATTATTTTTAGCCTTCCATAAAACCATAGGAAAGCAAACACTTCCATGTTACTGTTTTAAAGTACACCGAGTTGCGTGCTGTCATTTTGGAGGTCATGGTCCTCTGGAGGAGAGCTCTATGCCAGCATGTGCAGTATCAGAACACTGTGGCAGGAGTCTTTATTTCAGCTGTGAACAAAGGACACTTAAAAATAATTTCTGCCTGACGATGGTTTTGAAGCCATTCCAGTAATGTGCAGCTCACGGGGAGTTTTGTCTTGGCAAAGGGAAATGCTGCAAGGCGTGGACAATGTTTTTGACGAAATGTATCTCAAAGGTAAAATTTGTAGCCATAATACTGCTTAAGTTGGTGTAATGCGTAACATAATTTTCCTTTGAACTGCCCATTACTAAATGTGTAGTGCAGAGCCGTATGCCCCAACATGACTGCGATTTTCAGCAGATCCGTATTTACTGAGCAGCTAAGAAAACGTCAGCAGCGGATATCTTAAGATTTTTCAAATCATTAAGCAGCCCTGCCTCACTGTGGATCTGAGTGAGCTGTGCGTGCAGCAGCAAGGTGGTTAAACCTTTCACATCTCGCCCTTTCTTAGATATGGAAATAATAAATTATATTTACAAACAACTGCAGTTGCAGCTTACTGTCTAGAAAAATAACTATCCTTTTTACAACTATCCCTTAATTTTCTTCTGTCTCATTCCAACTGAGAGCTGCCAGAACTCTTATGGCAAGTCCTTGGTACCCTCGCAGTTGTGAACTCAGCGTTTTAAAGTAGTTTTCTATGGTCATACACTGTGAATGGGCATTCCTCCATTGCCTTCCTTCCCAAGAACAATTGTACCTGAGAGCTGGCTTTGTAATGAATCCAGTTAAAGCTAGACATTAAAAGATGAGAATGTATTTGTAAATTTAGTGAAATCCAATAATGGTGGAAAGAATTTTTATTCCTATTGCAAGAGATGGATCACTTACCTTTACTCAGGAGTTAACTACCCTAAGGTGCTAGCTCCTGGCTCACCACACACATAGTTCCTAGCTTGTCAGTATTACCTAAAAGCCAGGCAGAAAATACTCTCCTGCGTGCCCAGGACTGGGGCAAGGAGGAGATCTTGGAATACTGGCAGAAAGGACTAGAAAGTATTGGGAGGTGGGGAGAGTGAGCTGGGTCCATTGTAAGTATGCTGAAGAGACAAATCTATAGGAAATGAGGCTTTGATGTTCCAGACTAGGGCAAAAAAAGCTCATCTGGGTTTGGTTTTACTTTATGCCTAGCTCATGCTAATAAATGTGCTGCCCAGAGTTTCACATTTAGCGGTTAGCGAAGCTTCACACAAACCTGTGAATTACTGTATTACCTTCTTGATGATCTTGTGCTGTTGGTTATTTTTGTCTAACGCAGCTCATTACCACATTGGCCATTTTTTCATGTGTGTTTGTATCCAATCCTTGTTACTTGAAAAGTTTCATAGAAAGCAGATGTCATGTGTAGCGTCAACCACCACTATATATCAGAACAGTCTGCAGGCATGAAGCACCAAGTAACAAGAGATGGTCATTTGAGTAAATCATTGCTCTTATCTAAAAAGGTGTGGTCATAGCTGCCCTAAGCAAAATACTGCTCCAGGTCGCAGTTTGTCAATAGGTTATGTTTTCCCTACCCAGATTGTGTAACTGCACAGGCTTAAAATGTTTGACTGGATAAGATGGTGTGCTTTGGCCCAGCATGGCTTGGAAAAGTCAACTTGCAACTACAGAATATATGGGCCAACAGGAGAGCCTAGATTACTGGAGCAAAGGGAATATTAAGATTCCAGAAACCAGAATAAAAGGAAAGCTTTGGAAAAGTGAGAATTTTTTTTATGTTGTTGAAGTTGTCTTTTTTTCAGTCTGTTCCAGATGGGGAAAAGATCTCTTAACTTTTTTAAGAGGAGACAATTAATTTGGTATGATCTGGTAAGATCTGCTCCACAAAGGAGCGTGACATTAGAGGTGATCCACACAGACATAGGACAAATGTATGCCGAGAATGGTTAATCTCTCTTTGTTTTCACGGGGTTTTTCAGAGATACTCTAAGTTGAGCTGCTGCTTGAATCTTATGATTTAGTAGTAGCAGTGAGGTCTTAAATGTAGATTGCTCTCGAAGCTCAAGCAGCCTGTAGCTGCAGGACTTGTAATCCCAGAATGGCTATGATTCTACGATTCTATAATACATGTTTTACATGAGAGCTAAATTAACAATGAATTTTGCACAATTTTAAATGCAAAAGCAAAGTTATTATGCTGAGAAGTGCTCTATTAATTGGAGTCAATGTTGCTCCCTTAACACCAGTGACAAAACTCCTTCTGGTTCCTAGAGATCCACCACCGGATCCATTTCATTTATTTTTGTTGAGGGTCGTTTGTATCTTCCTCATTACCCTCTTACTGCAGCACTTTTCAGGGAGGTGCTCAGCTGCCATTTGTTGTTTATAGCTGCTTTTATAAGATAAAAAGAAATTTGTGGTGTTTTTTGTCTATTTTAAATGTGCTCCTTTCAGTCTGCAGTGCTATGTATGTTTGTTACTAAAGCCAAGAACTGCAGCTCTTTAAACAAAAAAAGAACGGCTCTTTTTCTGGAAAAAAAAAGTTACCTGGAAACATGCTGTGGTTAAGAGCGAAAATGTTGAATTTCAGTCCTTCAGGGAATCTTCAGGGTGTAATGACCCAGTTCAT